TATATTTGTCAGTATTACATATAAAAAAAAATGCAAAAGTACATTTTTAAATTGATTTTAAAAAAGTAACGGAAAAGTAACGAAAAGTTATTTTTCAAGTAACGGTAACTGTAACGAGTTACTTTTAAAAAGCGATAACTGTAACTGTAACTAGTTACATTTTTTACTCGGTAACGAGTAACTGTAACTAGTTATTTTTAAAAAGTAACTTTCCATTCCCTGGCACTAATAGTAATAATAGCGGTAAGTACACAGTAATAATAATTTACATTTACACAAGACTCTTTTTCCTTATTCACGAACAATTAATCGTATTACCTAACTATATACGACATGCTTACGGTTATAATCATTCAGTTTATCGCAACGTGATTATAGTCCTCTACTCAACCGTAAATCTTTAATATTTCATCGCGAATTAAATCGATTCTTCTCTTTCATTCTTTATCATAATCAAGCTTGATTAAAGCCAAACTCTTTACGAATTCTCGTCTCTGAATCACATTTGATTTAAAGCGACTTCACGAAAAAGGACGAGGTATGCGAAAAAGATGAATGAGAGCGCATGAAAAGATAGAAAAAATAATCAAGCAATCGTAAAAAAATATACAGACGCAAACATGTAACAAATCGATGGAGGGTACGATATTTGGAGGGACGAGGGTAACGGCTCAGTATCAGTGCAACCCTCGCCCTGATGAAGTGAACGGTATGGTTCACGAAACGTTGGCATTAATAATGAAGAAAGACACGGCGATAATCCGCAAACCTTCTGGTATAATTGAAGAAAATATCCGTGAAAGCCTCAAAAGCGTAATTTTGTAATGCCTAGTTCAGAAGTAAAAGAAATTAAACAAAAAATTGTACCTTTACGGAATTATGGCTGAAAAGTCGCGATGATCGTCTAACATTGGTACCTTGAAATGTCGGTGACGGAGGTGAAGTCGGATTAGCTGCCGTCACTGTCACAATATTAGCAGTATTACTTGTATTACCCGATTGGGAAAATACCGATTTGCCTTGTTGCAATGGTGTTTCTTTTCTTGACATTAATTGCTGAAAGATGCAAGAAAATTATTCTAAAAGATATCTACTAGACACATATCTAATATAGATATCTTTCAAAAGAGATCATTTAGATATCCTTAAAATATATCTATTATAAATATTTTAAAGACATCTTTTAAGAAATCTTTAAGACGTCTATAGATATCTTTTAGTAGTTATAAAATGATATCTTTAATAAAATCTTTTTAGACATCTTTTATATATCTTCTAGAAATGTCTTGAAGATATCTTTAAAGAGATATCTTTCAGATTTCTACAAGATATTAATGTTTACTGGGTTCTTACAAAAAAAGATTAATATCTGAGATGGTTCATATTAAAAAACAGACTCATGGTATAAACAGACAAAATGACAGTTATTACCCAAATATGTATGTACACCAATATAATACATTCCCTATCCTCTTAAATTTGTCTTTCCTTGTTATTTTCCTCTTTTCCTCCTTTAACTTTCTAATCCAACGACATTATTTCAATTATTATCATACAGATAAGTTCGTTATTGGTAGCTGCAAATTATCTTTCTTAAATTTTAATTATATTTTATACTAACATGACTCAAAAGAAATTTAATCATGGACTTTTTACTACTTATTTTATTTTTGACAAGGTAATAAAACTTTTATATTCATATTTTAAAGTTTAGAATATCGCTAATTCTTTTCTATACATTTTATTAGGATCAGATTATGATTAAGAGATCAACACTTTTCAATATTTATATCGAATTATGCAGCTGAAAGAAGAATATTTTATATTAATTGTAGTTTTTCATTTAAATTTAACAATTGTAACATTGAAAATGACTCGATCGGAGTCGAAACGTCTGTATATTTAAATATTTTTTTAATTGTTCGATTAAATGTATTATTATATGGAAATTTCTAGGCTCTTCGCCCTTCTTATATTTATATTGTTTTATACATATAAAGCCTTCTCATTTATGTGTATGTTAAATTATTAATATTTAGCAAACAATTCTTATAACTCTTGTTTCTATCATATTTATATGCATGTACATACATGCATTACTATGTATCTAAATTATGCATACACTTATACATTAAACAAACTGATTAAAAATAAGAGAAAAGAGCCAATAATTTTTTAAAAAAGATATATAAATGTAATTAATTCAAAATCGCAATATACATTAAACAAACAGAGTAAAATTCGCAAGTAAGAATTCGCACATACGTCTCGACACCGATCGGGTCATTTTCAAAACTTATACATTATAACATTTAACTTATACATTATATTATGTATAATACATAAAATCAAAATTAAATTCTAAAAATGGCATAAAATGTTATTCGTCAAGAGAATCGATAGAAAAAAGAATGGAATAAAATTAATTTATGCCATTTTTTAAAATCTTAAGTTAACTTTTAAATTTCATTTACGTTACAACTGAGTAAGAGATTATAAATAAATTAAATTTAAATTTAATTATGGCCAAATTAAATTAATAATTAACTGATATAAGACGGTTTTAGTTCTAAAATATTTGCCAAAATAAATTATATCAAAAATCGATCAACAGAATACAAGTTGCAGACATTTTTTTTTATTGAACAATATCAAAATAATTTCAATTTACATAAACTTTTTAAATTATACAACATCAATACCTTTTACACATTCCCATTTACTTGTATTTATCAAAAATATATTATTATCATATATGTGCTAATTAATATAAAATAATATTAATATTTTATACAGATTAATATTCATGTATGTACATTTGACGTACATAAAATCGCAATAACGCTATAACTAAAAAATAACTAGTATATTGTATATCATATTATAATTATATGTCCAGCGATTGCTCATTCGTATCAAGTAAAGGAATGTACAACATGTTTTGGATTGTAGGGAATATTAATTTTATTGCCGGGCAATAGCATAGGTATGGCTTTAACACGAAACTCATACGGTAAAAAATCCTGACAGAAATGATAAAAGTCCATACGATTAACGATAATTTCCAAACGAGCCATTTCCTTCATCACAGCCTCCAGTTCGGTTTTATAATCTAATATAAAATTATATTAATTTTTATACAGATTAATATTCGTGTATGTACATTTGACATACACAAAAACTAATATATATTCTATATCGTATTGTAATTATATTTCCAGCGATTGTTCATTCGTATCAAGTAAAGGAATGTACACATTTTCTGGATTGTAGGGAATATTAATTTTATTGCCGGGCAATAGCATAGGTATGGCTTTAACACGAAACTCATACGGTAAAAAATCCTGACAGAAATGATAAAAGTCCATACGATTAACGATAATTTCCAAACGAGCCATTTCCTTCATCACAGCCTCCAGTTCGGTTTTATAATCTTCGTAATTCTTACAACGCTCAATAGTAGCTACTATCTTAACTAATTCCTGCACAAATTTCTCAGACTTTACTCTTGTGCTTAATTTGTACTTCGGCTCCATGCGTTTCCACAGAAATTTGTAAAGACGATCTGTGACCCAATGTTTCGGACGAGGAAGTCTCGGTGGTCTATATACCTTTCCATTTACTAGAAATGCCTTATCTACTACTGTCGTAGAATTCTTGAGCTTCTTCTTTGTATCTCGTTTAGGCGTAATTAATTTCACTCTTTTCGGTTTTACTGCAGATTGTTTCTCATCTGTTGGGTTCATTTTCATCGCGATCGTCTTGCGACTCTTTATTTTCTCTAATTCTATTTTAAGATTCTTCATTTTCTCATTCAAGACTAGCGACTTTTGCGCGCGTCCGCTTAGTTGTTCCATCGCAGTTTCTTTTACTTTGAAAAAATCATGTATTTTTCTCACTGATTTAGATGGAGTTTGCTTATTGGAAGAAATATCTTTACTTGACGATTTAGTCGGTATACTGTCATGGTTTTGAGACTTGTCCAAACTTTTTTGTCTATGTGCAATTTCTCTGTTGTTCTTAATGTTGGTCCTACTTGGACTTTGCACACTCTGCTGATTTACTGTTTTACTGGTTCCAGGCTTTGTCAAAGAATTTTGTTCATTTGTTTGTTTCGCAGATTCTGCATCTTCACCATCAGTCATTTCCATTTCAGTGGACAGACTAGTGCTTTTCTGTGTTCCTGTATTTGTGTTATCTTTAGAATGTATTTCTTCTGTCGTTATTATGTGCAACGGACCATCTTTACTTGTTTCTGATGTTTCGACATTATTATCTACTTCACTATCAGCTATCAAGTTCATAGACCGCTTAGAGACTTCTATAGTTTTATTCATAGACTTCAGTGTTTCAGATTGATTTCTTGAACTGTTATGAGTCAAATCATCTTTTTTACTAGAGCTTGATTTGGATAATTGTAAAGAATTTTCCTCATTCATAGTTTTATCTTTTACTGATTGTGAGTCTTTCTCTATTGCTAAATATCCACGTTCCTGGTTAATTCTTATTGCAGATTCTCGCTTAAAAGAAGCGCGATTACTTTTTATGGAAACATTACTTCTTCTATCACTGATATTAGAAATTTCTTCGAACGGATTAGTTGAACGCTTACGGAACTTCCCTAATATTTTTGATTTTGATTTAAAAAATATGGACCTCTTCGGTCCATGAGATTCATCACTATCCGAAGATGAGCTGCTAGAACTAGTTTTAGTATTATTTTTAGCTTGCACCGATAAGTTTGATTGCTGCTCTTTAGATATATTCAAAGATAATCTTGGACTTTTACGAACTGGTGAACTTTCAGGCATAACATTGATGTTGACCTTAGCTGTCTTTAAATTGACTAATCTTTTTAAAGGGCTGAGCGATGATCTTGACATTGAAGATTTATCATTATTGTTTTCCTTATTTGAATTAGATGTTAACATTAAATTTGAGTTACTGTCAGCTAGAGCATCTGCAAAGGCATTTTTTTCTATGCTTTTCCGCGCCTTCTGTTTAAAGCGAGATTTAAGTTTTAAACGTTGGCGATGAACAACGATGCTTCCATTGCTACTTTGATTACTGTCAGCATTAGTCTCAGGTACTTCCTCCTCAACATGTAAAGTTAAGGAATCATCAGTTTCAATATTTTCTAACGGCTTTGTTTGAGGCACTTCTATTGGTTTCCTATGATCGTCAATATGATCTTTACTCACATTAATATTTTGATCCATCGAACGCTTCGAGGATTCCTTTTCAAACACGATTGTTTTTTCCACCGTGCTGCTACTTAAAACATCTTTCGTTAGTATATCCTGAAAGGCGTTTTGATCTTCCATACTTCCACCTCTTCTTGGTCTAAAAGTACTTGATTTTGATTTGAAAATCTTCTCAGTTGAGTTCAAATTACTATCCTCTTCATTTTCCTGTGACTTTTCTTGTGAAGATTTGCTGTCTGAATCGCTATGTGATTCATGGTCGACTTGCTTCATCCGGAATTTTAATGGAACAGTTACCTCGGTATCATTCAAAGCATTTTCGAAGGCATTGTTAATACTCTTCTTACTATTTGCTTTTAAATGAATTTTCCTCTTTCTTGAAATGAGCTCTTTCTCTGACTCAGATGTCGAAGTTTGCAATATATTATTTTTAACAATCGCTAAAAAAATATAGTATAACTTATAACACAATGTTGTACTACAATATTCATGATGTAAAACTGTGTCTGCAATCATATTTTTACTTCCTCCAAGTTTTTTTTTTACTATTCTAGGCTTTTAAAAATTGTGAAAAAATTAAAGATTATTTTCTAACACACATCTCTACTTTATATTATCAAACAGTTTTTTAGTAAGATACTTTAGAAGAAATAACCAAACTTTATCCTGTTTTATTTGGGAGAAATTGGAAAGTAAAATTTCATTTGTGTCAAAAAAGATTGCACAAACAGAGAATTAAAAGATTTATTCTTTTTAGCTAAACTTCTCGCACAATTCACCTTTTTTCTTTTTCTCTTCAATTAGAAAAAAAAGAAGAGATAAACATACAAGAAGTTCAGTTATAGTAAAAAGAATAAATTAAATATTCTGCCTCTTTCTATTTATACCTGCGCTACGCCTTGTTGAAGTAGTTGCTTTATTAGAAGAGTCCAAATTTTTCCACCATGCCGTAGAATCTTGACTAGAATTAATCCTTGAATTACCACCACTCAGTTGCGTATCTGTTTCATTTTCAGCATGAATCATGGAATGGGATGGAAATGTATTCTCCTCTAAATGATTCCACCAAAATGTTTCTTCTACAGAAAAAAAATATTAAAGTCATATTAAAACCACCTCCAACTTTAAATTTACCTATAACAAAGATAATATCTTAAGACAAAGTCGTATAATATCTTTAAACCAAAAACTGTATTGAGATCTTCCGAACAAAAAACTTTTTATTCTACCATATATTCCAAAAATTACAGACAATGTGACATCTAATTTAAACAAAGAAGTTTTTACTATAAGAATTAGGAGTATTAATAAACTAAATAGAATTATTAAAGTTCGTAAGGATATTACTGATACTACACAAAAGAACAATGTCGTTTATAAAATTAATTGTAACAATTGTAACTCGTCGTATGTAGGCCAAACAAAGAGAAAGTTGATCACGAGAATAAAGGAACATAAATATAATATTAGAGGAGGTCCTTCAAAATGTTCGGTTTTATCTAAACATTGCACTCAATTTGATCATTCCTTTGATGGAATAAAACGCTCAAATCATGGATATAAAATCTCACTATACCAAGAGACTGATTTCAGAAATGTTTTTTTTATTAAAGAAGTATTAAACAAGAGAATGGTATCAATGCCCAAAAAGACATGGAAAAATTAGACAAAGCATACGATTGTTTTGTTTTGATTATGATTTTCTTAATGATAAACAAGCTTATGTATATTCTTTTAATATATTGTTTATTTTCTTTATGTTTTTGATCTTCTGCGAGAGCAACGCAAAAATTATAATTTTTTAGTTATGTTGTAGCAAATGAGTGAAATGTTAAAGGAAAGATATTCCTACCTTCATCCATGATGGATGTATCAGGATCGACATGTCCAGTAGGCCTATTTCTGTAACTTTTAACAACAGTTCAGTATTGTTATACTTTTGGCCAGCTTGGCCTCAGTTGCCAGTTTGGCATTTGTCGTTGGTCGATAAAGTAGGTCAAATTGAACTACTTTATCGACCATCGACAAATGGAACTACTTTATCGACCAACGACAAATGCCAAACTGGCAACTGAGGCCAAGTCTAGAATCTCTAGAAAACAAACTATCAGCTATTATTGAATATTGGACGTCGCATGTCGAATGTCGAATGTCGTGTATAGTGTGATGCTAGATTCATAAGCTTCTTTATTCTTAGCAGTTCGTGTCAGTTCACATGTTGGAACATAGCCTGTATCGAAACTCATGAGGCGACAATGAGCGACAAGATGGCACGTCAGCAGGACTTCAACGATCTGTTCAACGTGAGAAATAATTTCTACATTGGCAATTACCAGCAATGCATCAACGAGGCACAGAAGATCAAGGTAAACTTATCTCAACTGTGACATCTTGCAAACGCGCTGCATGCTCCGTTTGAATTCCCAAACGTGAGTGACTATCATCACCATTCCAACAAATGCTCCTTCGTCTCATTGACGTTTCTCTAATACTTTTCCAAATTCGAAATGATATATGTTATACAACCTTTCATGTTGCATTCTATTTTATTATTATATTAATATTCAAATAAAACTTGGACGGTAATGCCGCTGTCAAAATATTAAAATTCCAGATACATATTCGGACAAGTACTATCTTTAAGCGAGTCTTTTCACAATTTGGCTCCAAATATGAATTTATATATATGAAAGAAAAGTCTGATAATTCTATAATATATCTTTCATACCGGATTTAGTTTGTTTAAAAGACATCATAAAGAAATTATGAAGACATGCATGTCTAAAAGATATCTGAAATACATCATAAAGAGTTTTTTTAGACGATGTATATTGTCTAGATTGTTTCACAATTATACAAACATAAGTTTATCACTTTTTACAGACATCGGTTCCAGAAGTGGCTATGGAATGTAATGTCTTTCTTTATCGTGCGTATATAGCGCAGAGAAAGTTCCGTGTAGTGCTAGATGAGATCGACACTTCGTCCCCACAGATATTACAGCCATTGAAGACTCTAGCCGACTATTTCGCGAATCCACATCGTCGAGAGGCTATAGTGGTCGAATTGGATAAGGAAACCAAGAATGTAAATTATGATAACCATATTCTGCTGATCGTGGCTGCGACCATTTACTATCATGAGAAAAATCTAGATGCTGCACACAAAATAATATGCGCCTCTGACAATCTGGAGTGCATGGCGCTAATGTTACAAATATATCTCAAGATGGATCGTTTGGATCTGGCTCGCAAGCAACTCAAAGTGATGCAAGAAAAGGATGACGATGATACTTTGACTCAGCTTGCTCAGGCATGGATTAACATTAGCAGTGGTGGTGACAAACTGCAAGATGCTTATTACATCTTTCAGGTGAGAGAAGACAAAATGTTGATTCCTTGGAACGTATAACGCGAATATTTTATATTTAGATTGTTGTGTGTACTTTATCTAGAGAATTATCTAATTTATTCAATTGTAAACTATTTTAGGAAATGATCGACAAGCATTCCAGTACGGGTATGTTGCTCAATGGTCAAGCTACTTGCTTCATCGGACAAGCAAAGTATGAAGAAGCAGAAATGGCTTTGCAAGAAGCTCTCGACAAAGATAGTAATAATCCAGATACATTAATCAATATGATTGTGCTCTCGCAGCATATGGGTAAACCAGCAGAAGTGGCGAATCGTTATTTAAGTCAGTTGAAAGATTCCCATTTAGAGCATCCTTTCGTCAAGGAATACTTGCAGAAGGAAATTGAATTCCATAGGCTTAAAGAACAGTATTCAGTTTCCGCTTGAGTACCTCTTTATAGATTACATCGATTATGGCATTCCTTGGGATAAAATCAATCAAGTATTGTGATTGTGCGTGAATGGACCCAAGTGTGGAATAACAAGTTGACTACATTGAAGGTGTCCAATGAGCCAAGCTTCTTCTCTTGGAAAACTTTTCTTTTGAGCCTGAAATATCCAAATAGATCTTCAATATCTTACGGCGCAATTCAGATCTTTATACAAGGATGAGGCATTTAAAACGAATCACCTGAATAACTCGTCTATTTTTTAACAGTAGAAGGAAAAATGTTAAACAAAAGTTGCTTGATTTTAAGGGGCACATAATGTGATGTCAATAATTGTTTTGTAGGTGGAGGCGTAAAGGATAGGCAAAGAGGTCGAATCTATTTTTTTAAATGGAATGTTTTTTATTTATTATACATTCTGATAGAACATTTTAAAACGAATACAGTGACCTATAATTGAAGATCATTTAAAGTTACGCAAGGTCAATAATGCAAAATAATTGAATGTAATGGAAAATAAATTGTTTTAAGGTACTCTTCGAATAATTTCGTGCCTTCGCTGCTTGTTGGTGTAACGCTAATCGTCACGTTATCGTCACATCACATTATGTGCTCCTCGAAACCAAGCAACTTTTGTTTGATACTTTTCCTTCTATTGTTAAAAACAAGCGAGTTATTCAAGTGATCTGTTTTAAATGCCTCACTCTGTATATAATAATGGAAAAATATACATTTTGAAATGGTTTTATTTTTGTTGAGTGATTTAAAGCCTGCCTAAATAATATTAACTCTTAGGCTTTCGAAAATACAGTTTAAAGATGTTATACACATATTGAGATGTGCAATCTTCTAGTTATCTTTCGCGAGAACATTAAAGCGCAATTTTTCGAAATAAAAACATTTCGTTCATAGGACAAACATGTTCTGCAGTATTGAGACATTGTTTTTGTTCTTATATTAAATTAAATACATATGCTAGCAGAAAATAGATAGATATAGCATTGTATGGATAATGGGAACGTTCGAAATTGCAAAAACCAAGATGTATGTGACTGGAAAAATCGCTCTTATCCATTATATCCTAATATTACACTCACTACATAATCACGAAAATATGGCTGCCATTTTGTAAAATTATTATCGAAATTATAGACCATTTTGCATGTAAGCATCTCTTCATACAATATTCGTATTGCCAATTTATGTAATAGATAGGCGAAATATTAAAATAAAATATTTCGTACATTATGAATATGCAAAAACCGAGAAATCTTTTTTAATTTCCACAAAATAACATTCCTTAATGTTTGTAAATACCTTTATTATATATAAATATAACTTATTATAATTAACTCTTAAAAATAAAGTCTTACATCTGTAAATTGTATACTTGTCTAGAACCTAGCTTATAATTAATTAATCTTCTAGTTTTCAGTTAATCTTCCCCTTATTAATTTTGGTAAATGTTTACCTTAATTTTTTATAACAAATCTATAAATTTATCTCATAAACGTGCAATTAAAATTTTTGAACTTGATTTATAGAATTCGCGAAATATGAAATGCAAATAATATTGTATTTTAAGTTTTAATATAAATAAGCCATTAATTTTGACAGCAAGTTAAAAGAAATAAATTTGGAGAGAGAAATGAGAGAGAAACGTATGGAGTTTTAAAATTTTCAAAATTAATGGAACAATTCTAAGCAGAATCGTAAGGCGAGTAATTTGCCCTCGTAAGACATAAAAACTTATGACAGATGTTTTATAATTTTATGCGTACACGTCGTAAGATGTTCGATCATTCGTTAATATCTAACGATTTCTCAAAAATCTTACTGTTAGTAAGAAGTAATCTGTAAAGATATCGCATCAAGTTATAAACATTTGTAAGTTCTTACAAGTATTACGAGCCTTATGATTATGCTTAGAATTTAGGCATAAAAAAAGACTAACGCCTCTTATGAAATTTTCAAGATTAATGGCATAAATAATTCACAAGTAGACATATATAAAATAATGTAATATTTTTATTGGTGGCGGTGGGTTTCAAAAAATCGTATTATATATATAACAGAGCACGCAGATTTCACAACATAATAAGTGTCAAACTGTACATAAAACATAATTCGTATTAAGTCCTTTATACGTTCTGCATCTTTGACGGAGTATATATACATGAAATTATATTCCTGGATATTTATCACGTGAAGTGTATCAGTTATTGTATTATTAATAGAGCTAACCAAAGTTAATATTATTAAATTAATATTAATCCAAGGCTAGATGCATTATTGAATCTACATATGTGATATGACTCTTATGTAGGTCATTAAAAAAATATCCATTATAATCCTAATTGTTGATAATTTACATTATCATATATTTAATATTCTTAAACTAATATCACAATGGCTCGAGACAGACAAGACTTCTGATGTTTGTGCATGTGTCCTGATAAACGATGTTAGCTGCTGACGGCACAACTGTCTTTTGTATAATCATTTATACAACTACGTGTAATGCGTGATCCATTCAAATTCGCGTCATATAAACCTGAAAAACATCACTATCTGCCTTCGTGAAAAATTCTAAAATTGCTTCTTTCTTAAATCCGTAACAGATGTACAAATTCTATGTAAAAAATCGTTATTTCACGCGAAAATTACAGATCATAATATACACAATTCATCTTATGCAACATCAATATTAAGAGATAAAAATTATTCAAATGGATACAATATGTATATTTACACGCACGCGGACTCACTTTTCTACACGTAATGTGCGTAAACTTAAATGAGAAGCAAAAATAATGCTGGCAGGATTCGCAAAAAGAAAAGGAGGAAGAAAAAGGAAAAAAAGAAGAGAAGAAAATAATAAAGATACCTTGTTGTACTCCCAAATATTGTTCATCACATTTAAGGAAATAAAATCATTTCTCTTCGTATGCTAACAACAAACCGTTGTCGCTATCGCACATGTCACGATATTTAATATAACTTAAAAACGCAAATTACAAGTCCGCTGTCTAAGGAGGTAACCATTGTGTATAACAAAGTACATAGATTTGTTTTTCTCGGGCAATGCAAAAATTCACATTTAATTATATTACATTACGATTTTTTTGGGGGAAATTTTTCGCAGATAAAATAAATACTGACGCATGTTCTTACAATAGAACATGTTTAGAAAATTGTATAGACTCTCAATTGTCTCATTGCAGCTCTTTTAAATTACGACATTAAAAGAAATTGCTTGTGTTGTATAGGTTTTTCTTTTTGAATGGATGTTTTTATACTTCCAAAGAAAATAACGGAATAAGCAGTTATATAGCTATTTATAGCTATTTTTAATTATAAAAATTTGTAGCTACAAGATTAATAGCTATTTAATTTATTCATGAATTTATTCGAAAATTTTTTCTAATTCAATATCACTGCAGTGAGAAAATAAAGAGTTCCAACTTGTGCCCAATTTTCAATGAATAACTATTACAATGAAAATTTAATACAAAGAATCATTGAAACGATAGCTTAATAAATTTCATAAGTGCATTGTTCAACCTTTACTGCTTTAATGAGACTAAAAACTGTTTTATAAAATAACACTACTTTTTTTTTATAGTCATAGCACTAAAATTTCATTTGTCAACTAAACTTTTGAAATTAATGGAAGCAATCATATAAACATAGATTTACATCTTTTCGCGAAGACTGTACTGTTTCTACACTTTCAAGATGATTAACAAGATAATCATTATACCTGTACAACAACACGATTATATATAGAATTTTCGATATAATCTTTTTTTAGAATAAGTGGAACTTTATATAGATTTGCTTATCGTTATTAAATTCGGTTGAACCTGCAAATAAAATGGTATAGAATAATCAAAATATCATATATTTGTTCACACTGTTTCTGTTTGTACCATGGAGCCAATGCATTGTTCAAATCAACACGTAAATACAAAAGGAAAGAAGAATACTTTCTTTATCAATCAAGCTATTTCATAAAAATAGAAGTACTTAGCAGAAGCTCCAAATACGGTTTGCTCTACAATTGTAATCTTTTATACAAGTAAACGTCTTAATCAAGAGCGCAGGAGAAAAAAAATACAAATAAAGTATCTCGCTGCATTTTCCACTGCGTTATTTCCGAAGACTATGTCTCTTGGAGATTCATGTTGTATCGCAATTTCACATGTTATGAAGAATAGCGTCGACGAAACAAGCGTCGAAATAACCTCAACAGGAGACTGACTGAAAACTTCATCGTTGAACAGTTTCTTCGAGCGTTGATAATTTTTTCTTCAATATGCAGTACATACTACAGTCTTTAGAATCTTTATTAATTCTTCAAAGTAATTTTTACCTAGACATGCCCGTTAGGGCGATTCTAAGAGGTAAGCGCGGGCGCGCGGTGTCATTTTACGTATACGACCTCGACTACTTATACTGATGCCAGGTTCTGGCATACTCTCATCGCTATCCTCGGCGTAGGAGCGGCGCTTGATCTTGCGCCGGTTTCTTATCGGCAATGTGGTACTGTCATCGCTATCTTCATTGTAACAAGGACGCTTCCGAGCCGAGGATCGTCTGCTGCTGCCGTAATGTTGCCTCGTGTTCTCCAAATCTATAAAACTGCGCGACTTTCGACGGCTCGAGCGCGACGATCTGAATTTTTTGTCAGAATAATCACTGTCCTCCGAGTCTTGTTTATTAATTTTATGTTGTAATTGATGCTGTTGTTGTTCTTCTTCTTCTTCTTCTTCTTCCTCCTCTTCTTCCTCTTCTGGTTCCTCCTGTTCTTCTTCGTCATTGTCATCTCCTTCGCTCTCGCTGTCGCTATTATCGTCCTTCCCATTATTAGCAGTATATTTTTGGACATTCTGCACATTCTCAGACACTAACTTTCGCGATCTAGTGTCTCTTTTGATGATCTTTTCCTCTTCACTCTCCTCTTCTGAAAATTCCGGCGCAAGTTCCTCTTCGTTGTTCTCGATTATCTTGCTCTCCGTAATGTATTCCTCGTCATCATCGTCGTCGTCGTCGTCATCATCATTATTCACGACAACGTTCGATTTCACTTTAGATTTGAACTGTTTACCGTTCTTAATATTTTTACCGCGATTTTTACGAACCTGCTTACTGCGACCACCAGGCGTGTAATTGTCTCCAGAATCGGTATCGGCACTAACACTTTGTAACGCTGTTCTTGCTCTAGTTCTTCGGACAGGAGCACTATTACTGCTATCAGTGTCCGTTGTTGCTTCAGATTCACTAATGTCACTATCACTATCCTTCAGCTTTTTTGTCACAGTCGACCGGCAAATTCGCAGTTTCAGCCTTGGCCGGGACGGCCCAGAATTAGACCGTTTCGTGTGACCATTTGTCATTCGCGATGGTCCTGGAAAGTAAAATGAAATTAAGATTAGTAATTTAATTACAAAAAAACTCTCAGGTGATGAAAATTATAAAGATGTAATAGTATTAATAAAATCTCAATATGTCGATTACTTAATTGGAAAATTATGGACCATGTAGGGCATTGTGAAGAATTTGCTAGAGTTTATGGTTTAATACAACATGAATACAGTTAGAATAAGCTAATTAACATATTGTTCTTTTTTTTATTGTAATTCTATCAAAATATAATGTAT